CTCGCTCGCTCATTCACTCGCTCGATCTATTGCTCCCTTTCTCTCTCTTTCTTTAAAAAGTTTACCTATATATAAATGTTAGTCTTGCTAAATAAACCGCCAGGTAACAACTTGTTTATTCTTCATCAAAGAACATTCAACTGGAAAATCGCCTGTCGTTGCGATATCGGATAACTCTGGTGAACTGTGCGCGAAAATGTCTCACTGCATGACGTTAACCCCTTGTCCCGATGTGGCACACAAACACCGTCGTTTATAACATTTGTATTGAATACTTTCGAGGCAAAATGTTCGAAATAACATTTCATGTTGAGCAGTGATCAGTGTCTGCCGTTGATGTGGAGGCACGTATACCCGAGCAACCTTAAAAGGCGAACTTTTGACAGTTAACAGCACGATTTATGAATAAGGACGCCGTTAATCACACGTAGTTTTTAGCTGATTTACGAACGTCTGAAAGTGACAAACAGCCCTGAACGCCTCATAACAACTTCTTAATGGTTGCTATTTTGCAAGGAAACTATATACGACAAGAATGATGCATGCCCGAATGCGGTAAGCACCCCCCCCCCCAACGCTTAAATTCACATCTTATCTGCTGTTCTTTAGTTTGGACTGAAACTATGACATGATTGAGCAAGGCAATTTGTTGTGGTAACCTTACGCGCTAACTCGTAATAGCCACGCTGCTAGCTTTATATTGTGATTAGCCACGTCATGTTTGCGTCCGTTGCGTGACAAATTATGTGTGTCACCCTACCTCCGTCCGTCATCGCCCCTCACCGTCCGTCACCGTCCGCCATCGTCCGTCACCGTCTGGCACCGTCCGCCATCGTCCGTCACCGTCCGGCACCGTCCGCCATCGTCCGCGCGGTGGGCAGATGCTGGTCCCGTTGGCGTGTTCCTCACTCGATCTATATATTATTACGGCGTCATGCGTGTGTTGTACGTCGACCGGCAATACAATGTTACACTTTATATGGGAACAAAAATATTGTTTACGCTCGACGTTGACTCGCCACGTCTCTATGCGTGCGTGCGCGCGCGCGCGTGTGTGTGTGTGTGAGTGCGTGCGTGCGTGTGTACATGTGGGCGGTCTGCTGTGTGTGTGTGTGTGTGTGGCGTGCGTTGCCGCGGCGGTGCGTGCGTGGCGTGCGTGCCGTGACCCGTGTGTGCGGGGCGTGCGCTGCGTGTGTCGGTGTAGTGTGTGTGTGTGTGTGTGTTGTGTGTGTGTGTGTTTGTGTGGCGCGCTGTACTATGTGGCGTCTTGTGGTGTGTGTGTGTGTGTGCGTGCGTTGCGTGCGTGCGCGGTCGCGTGCGTGCGTTGGTGCGTGCGTGGCGTGTGTGTGTGTGTGTGTCTGTGTGTGTGTTGATGTGTGTGTGCCTGTGTGTGTGTGTTGTTGTGGTGTGTGTGGTGTGGTGGTGTTATGTGGTGTGTGTGGGTGTGTGGTGTGTGTGTGTGTGTGTGCGTGTGTGGTGCGGTGCGGTGCGTGCTGTGTGTGTTGTGTGTGTTGTGTGTGCGCTGATGTGTGTGCGTGCGTGCGTGTGTGTGTGTGTGTGTAGCACACTTGGCGAATGCTGGAAGGACAGGACATCATGGTGATTTTATGGTTTATATGACGGATCTGGCGGATTAATGACTCCGAAATA